TTTCCTTTCTTTTTTCCCCCATAGTTTGATTAAACAGTTAATTGTTCACTTCTAGATTCTAATTGCTAATTTATATCATCATGTTTAAAAGACATTCAGGGAATAATACTAGTTCAAGGCCCAAGCATAGATGCTAAGCCTATTGCCAATCTGAAATTGTAAAACATCACCGACATTCACTGTAAAAGCCATAACTGAGTAAGTCAAGCTAGGCGTTCTAGAGCATTCTACAGATATAGCAAACAAGATTGCTGAACTCATGGGATCTGGTCAGAAATATCCACACCCACAGAACAACTTTGGGTTTTGAATAAGAATCAGCCTATTGGAAATGGACAACTGATACATTTGTTTTAAAGAAACAACAACAAAAGAGGAAATCCTGCCCTCAATTTGCATGTTTACATCTTTCACTGTGATTTGCATATGTATGTATTTTGCTGTGTTTTTGGTTTAAGGACATCTGTAATCCACAAGCCCTACTCCCTAGCTAGCTGTCTTTCAGCCCAGTATGGATAATAAGATAAGAAGCAGTATGCTAGGTATGGTCCCTGGAAAAGCTCCAGCTCCATGAGAAAAGAGGGCATCTTTACCCTCTGCTCCTTGCAATGGAGAGTAGGTGCCTGGAGTTGCATCAGCCACCATAAGACCATTAGGTATCAGGAATGAAGATGCAAGCAAGCACTATTAAGTGCAGAGCAGAAATGAGGCAGAGGGCACCCTGATGCCACTGTGGAGCCCCCGCGCCAACCATTTCCTGCCCACCTCAACGCTTCTTTATATTTGAGACAAACCCTGATTTGTTTAAGCCCCTGCTGTTTGGGCTTCCCCGTACTTACAAGCCTATTCCTACAGTCTATTGCTGCCACTGACTGTTGAAGGAGTTCAGAGGACATCACCCCAAAATATGCCACTCCGGTGTATTGACTTTTGAGATAAAGGTACTTGAAGAACAACAAATACAGGAAAAACACTCAGTCCTTCTTTCTTTTTCTTGAAGGCAGGATATTAAATTGCTACGTGAAAGATGTATTCCCTGTATGAGAAGGAAGGTAACATTTTTATGCCCAACAAGAGCAAGAAATTGAGATGGAGAGAATTCTATGTAGGCTGACCTTGTTAAAATAATTCATAGCTCCCTTCAGCCTCTCCGCGTAGTTTAGTTGCTTTTCTGCACCTGCCTCTGATCCTTTTTTTTTTTTTTTTTTTTTTTTTTTTTTTTTTTTTTTTTTTTTTTTTTTGGTGCCTCTGATCCTTTTATCCACTATTATAGCAAGTAGATTTCACTAATTCTTTGGGTCTTCGTTTCCTTATGGGGGTTGCCATGTCATGTAAAATTTAAATAAATGCGCTTTTTCCTGTTAGTCTGACTTTGTCAGTTTAATTTTCAGACCCAGCCAGGGACCATAAAAGACTCGAGGAAAAATTCTCCCTCTCTGTTGATCAAATTGTATCCATAAGCATAATAAAGTTTGCCCACATTTTCCAATAAAATTTTCCCAAAAAATGTATTTTTAGCTCAGATCGTTTGGATTTAGTTTATAAGTAAAATAAATGTGAAATAAATAAATGTGAAATGTGAAATGTGACATTTAGTTTATAAGTAAAATAAATGTGAAATAAATAAATAAATGTGAAAAAGAAGCTTCTGAAAAGAAATTGAGTGTATATTCCTTCCAAAAAATGCATTTGGGAGCTATCCTATATGTTATTATTATAAATTAGGTAAAACACAACTGCTTAAAAATGTGTACGATATATAAAATTTTCAAAGTCTATTTCACCAAAAATGTGAAAATATTGGAATAAAATATGGTAGAAGCTTTATTAAGGAATTTTCAACTTCACAGATTTGTAAGTAATACCAAGTACCTGTAGATAACTACTAAAATCCAGAAAGTATGAGCTTATCTGTAGTCATATAGCTAAAGAAGTCTATTTATAATGAGATATGTAACTTACATGTATAGATTTTTTTTTTAAACTACTCTTGACAAAGTTACATTTAGAAAAGGGGAAAAAAAGGGGCGCCTGGGTGGCGCAGTCGGTTAAGCGTCCGACTTCAGCCAGGTCACGATCTCGCGGTCCGTGAGTTCGAGCCCCGCGTCAGGCTCTGGGCTGATGGCTCAGAGCCTGGAGCCTGTTTCCGATTCTGTGTCTCCCTCTCTCTCTCTCTGCCCCTCCCCCGTTCATGCTCTGTCTCTCTCTGTCCCAAAAATAAATAAACGTTGAAAAAAAAAAATAAAATAAAAAAATAAAAAAATAAAAAAATAAAAAAAAAAAAGAAAAGGGGAAAAAAAAATACAAGAACATCAAAAAAAGTTCCCTCAACCGTGTCTACAACACATCAGCAATGACCACTAGAATATTAGCCCTCTTCTCCCCTAACCACATTTTGAAGATTGCAGGGAGGTGGTTTTTTTATGATGAAATCAAATTATATCTTCTCAATCTGTTTCACACAAATTGCTGGTAATCATTTTGATTTAAGAAGAGTCCATCCACCTGGGGACACTGCCCATTAAATATCTTTCTTGAAAACCATAACCATTAAGGTCGAATGGTTAGTTTTACCATAACTCTACAAAGGAGTAACTTTAAACGTACAGATAAGAAGAATGCTATCAAAATGTGAGACAGTTGTGATTATGTAATCACTTTCTCTTCAGGAACCCGCTATATGTACCCATTTGTAAGTCCATCCCTAACATTATATAAATAATGGAATTAACTAAAGAAGCTTTTTTTTTTTTTTTTTTTTGATTCCTTTCTCTACTGGTACTCTCAATACAAACTTTTGAAAATAAAACACCTTCACTTAAAAGGATCATAATTTTAATGAAAGCTAATGAGACTGTGATTCCTAATGACAAATGGGGAGCTGGAAATGCTAAATGACCTGTCCAAGGGGTCTGACATACACAAGTAACCGAAAAAAAAAAACAAAACACTCTCCGGATGCCTGGGTGGCTCCAGTCGGTTGAGCTTCCGACTTCAGCTCAGAACATGATCTCATGGTTTGTGTCAGCTGTGCTGACAGCTCAGAGCCTGGAACCTGCTTCGAATTCTGTGTCTCTCTCTCTCTCTGCCCCTCGCCCGCTCATGCTCTGTCTCTCTCCCTTTCCTTCAAAAGTAAATAAACATTGAAAAAAATTTAAAAAAAAAAAAAGAAAGAAAAATGCTCTAGAAGAAATTAAACCACTATATTTAACCCATAATTGATTCTCTGTTTTTGATGTGGAGAAACCCATAATCAGTGGATTGACACTATACCAGATATCTTAATATACTATTTATTTTCTATCTGTTCTCTTGTCTAAGGAATGATTTTTAAAAGGTTCCTAGCTATTATCACTGCCACTAACATCTGATTTGTAACCTGATGTATCCCAAAGCTGTGCATTATGTTTTCTTTTTTTCTATTCTAATAGCTGACCTGAGTGCTCCTTGCTTATTTTAGTTCACTCTAATGACACCCCTTCCTCCATGCTGAGTAATTCCTCAGGATCCTCCCTCCATCATTTCCTGGCCAAGTTACCAATTAGTCTTCCACCATACAGCAAAGCCTTCACTTATTGTCTTCTTGAGACTCCCATTTGCCTTCTTCATGTAGGTCTAACCCAGGCACACTCTTAATCAAGGACACCTTGATTAATCCTTAATCAAGGATTAAAACTTAATCTCAGTTTTATTTTTCTTCACACAGCTAAGTACTTTGTCCTGGCCACACTATTTACTCAGACTGTCCTGTATACAGCAAAACCTTGGAATGTGAATAACTTGTTCTGCAGGCATTCCCCAAGATGGGCAAACATTTCTAACAAATTGTAACTTGATAAATGAGCGACATCTTGTAATACTTGAGTGGTACGTGATGCTGAATGTCACATAATCACAACTGAGCCAATGGTTCTTGAAATTTGCTTTGATAGACGAGTGCTTTGGATTACAAGCATGTTTTCAGAACGAATTATGCACGCAAACCAAGGTTTTACTCTATTTTATTTTCTACATATAACTGTTCTACCTAATGTTTGAGAAATGGCAAATGGCTTATTATTGGCAGATGCATCGATTAATTTTCTGAGCAATCCTCTTCAAATAAGTGTGAGGAGAGCATCATATGCCCCCAATCAACCTACCATATAGATTAATCAATTAATTTCAAGTCAGGTGGAGCTATGCTGCTATTGTAATTGGGTGAGCCTCACCTATGCTCCCAACCTGAATTTGAAATTATTTCCAGAGAACAGTACTGAATTGGCCTATAACGTGCTGAGTTTGCCTATAAGCATCTGACTAAACAGGAAACTACTCCGTGCCATAGAAATGTTGAAAAAAGTCTAATGACCTGTTACCAACAATTGAAATGTTACAGTGTTTAAAAATTAGAACAGTAGTGGTTGTAAGCAAGGTGGTTTAAAGAATACAGTCAAATGATTTTAAAACACTCCAGAAGGACTAAACAAAATTTATCCTGTCTGGAATTATGGGCCATGTAAAGCACTTCCATCACCAAGGATTAGTCAGGACCCTGAGTGCTGCTTACAAATGACCTGTGGAATCAGTCAACTTGGTTTCCTAAGTGCTTCAAGACATTTATCTGCAGTCCCCCCACCCCCACCAAAAACTGACATTAAAGGGAACAGGCTGCGATAGGGTAAAACAGCCAGGACACATTTTGGGGCGCAGTGCAGGTGATCCTGTTCATGGACTGCATTCTAGGCTGTTAGACTTCAATTTCCCCACGAGTTGGGTAAGAATGTCAATCACAAATATCTATTCTGTTCCTAAGAGATTCAGAGTATACGCTCATCTATTAAAAGAGTGCATTGGAGAAAAGACCACTTCTCCAAGTAATTTAAGGAGCTGCTCCTCGTGAAAGAGATTATTCCTGGACTCAGGATGGTGACACATTGTTTCGGAGTATCAGACTACAAGTCTCTCAGTTTCTCCAGCACTGTGCTTACCACCCTTCGGTCCCCAGGCCAAGTACTCACCCCATCCGGCCTGCCATCGGAAGCAGTGACGATCAGAATGTAGCGATCCGTGCTCTCCCTGTCCAGGGCTTTCCCTAAGGTTAGAATCCCAGTACTAGTGACAGAGAAAACAAACAAACAGATAAGACACACAAAGATCTTTTGTCACAGGGAGTCTTCCTCCCATCAGGAACTACTCTTGACAGGTTTTTCCCCTTCAGCAAATGTAGCCTGAATATTTAAGATGCCTGATTCTAGGATTCATGTTGATGATTAAAAAAACCCTTTAAGGCTGATGAGCTTATTAGTGACAATGAAAAACCCCCAAACTGAATGAGATAACTGAGCTGATTCTCCAGCCTCCAAGAGAAAAATAAAACTACTCTTAATTCATTTCGGGAAGAAAGATGTCTATCTTGTTTATGATTATTTCAAAGGTAAAAGACTTCATTAGTCGTTAGTAGTTTCATAATCCTTTGAATCAAGGAATGGTTTCTTAGAACTAATACATAGCATTCCTGTTCATCCTCACATATGTGCCCATACTGGAAATGCAAATATCTAAATTCTATCTTTGACAAATCCTAGTGATTAACATTTACTTTTTCTTCTTTCCCAGTTTCAAAACAATGGAGGCTCATTGTAGAAAATTAGAAAATATGCAGTAAAATGTTAAAACTTTCATGGGTATTAGGATTATTTTTGTAATATTTATTTTTATTCTCCATAGTAATCAGATTTAGATACATTATACTATTTTCCAAAGAGGATTCAGACCGCAATATTTTACATTCTTTTTAAGGAAACATAATTTTATCAGCATTCACTCTCCCATTTTATAATTTATAAAAAACAGACTTTTGTTGGATACACTAACAATTGTATCATTTTGTTATTCTTTTGAAATTTAGATATTTCTTTATTTTATTTATTATATATAATGGGAGATGAAGAGCCTTTGGACAAATTCTCATAATTAGAATATTTTAATACTACTTCTTACCCTTTCACTGTTTAAAATCAATGTGTCCAAATAGTTAATACTTTCTTCTCCAATGTAATTTGTCTTATAACAGTTTGGTTACTTCTAATCCTCTCTAAAACAAATCCCCAAATTTTTATCTTAGATTTTACAATCTGACATCTGATATGTGACATTTTAATAAAGGCCTACCGAGTATCTATTGTGGAGGAGAGGTTATATTAATATAATAAAGCATTAAAATATTTATTCAAGCATAAAAACATAATTTGTTTCTGACTGATAGAAGGCTTTCACATTTTGACACAAGTGCTTTTATTGTTACAGCGGAATTTAAGCAATTCACATCATACATGGTAGTTGGGTAAAAACAGTTAACACCAATGAATCAAAGTCAGAGTCACGGTTACTCTATTTGCTTTATTTTATTGTTGTTGATCGAATGGACTTTAAAAAGTTCTAGCATATGGTATAACTATAGAAAACGAAGTTTACTAGTGGTACATTTTTAAATGTTTCGTCAAAAGAACTGACAACCCAGAGTTGTTCATAACAATGGCTTTTGGATGAACTTCCCACACCTCAGATGGTTCAGATAATCTCATTCTAAAATGACTTCAAGACAAAAGTAAGACATTATTGCTTCTGAGACTTACTCACAAGCAACTTAAACAGAAAATCTGAGAGCCCTAGCCATAGGACAATGAAAGAAAAAAGAAAACTGAGTTATTGCTTTCCGTTTTTCCCCTTGGTTTCAGGTTCTAATATCTATGTTCTTCCTTGTACATTAAATTAGAAAATCTCTAGAAATTTATATAGTATCCCCATTTATAGCCATATTATAATTAAACAGCTAATTTTTAATGGTCTGGTAATTGTTGCAAAGATAGCTCTTTGCTCAATACGATGTGTGCCTTGTGCCCAGTGCAGTAGGCAATTGGGCAGGATATTTGGGAGACGGAGAAGGAGAGAAAGAATAAGTAGTATCTTTTGGTATTTATAGCTGAAGGACTAGCTGATGGGTACACCTAAGCATGCTTTCCTGAAATTCCTGAAACAATTGGAAAGGGCGAGTGTTCCTACCAGCTGGCTGGAACTATAGTTCAGGATACACTGGGCTGCATCTAGGAATGCAGTAAATCTTGTACGTTCATATATTAAAAGTATGTAAGAACCGTTTATGTTAAAACAATAATAGTGCCACCTAAATTTTGCATGACTGAAAATGTATCGCACAGGGGTGACATCAGTGGTCTTGAAGATGGACGCCAGCATCCCCAGTGCTACCCTTATCCACCAAGAATTGTGTTTGTAGGTCTGGGGGATGCCTGAAGGAATGATGCATGGTTCTTGCCTTTATTTCGTCTAACCCAGAACTTACTAGAGGCAGACAAGCAGTGGGTTTTTCTAGAAAACACTGTAAGGCGGGGAGCACCCTGCAGTCACCTAAGGCAAAAGATTACAGCTGAGGTGTACAATCGAGTGCTGGAGGCCTGGAAGAAAAGGTGGGCAGAGACTTTCTTGGGAAACCAGGACATTGAGAAGCACCCACATATACTGGGGAGTGGGGTAGCACTGAGAGTCCAGAGATAAACCCATTGCATCTGCAGCCAGTTGGTTTTCAACAAGCATGAAGATTATTCAACAGGGAAAGATTCGTCTCTTAAACAAATGGTGCCGGGGCAAGTGGAGATCGACACGTGAAAGAATGACCTTGGACTGTCTTATTACACCATAGATGGAAGTTAACTCAAAACGAATGAAAAATCTAATATAAGTACTGAAACCATGAAACTCTTGGACAAAAACTTGGAGATAAATCTTCATGATCTTGGATTTGACAATAGATTCTTAAATATGACACTAAAAGCCTGAGCAGCAAAAGAAAAAAAAATAGGTATATTGGACTTCACCAAAATTAAGAATTTTTGGCATCAAAGGACATCACCAATAGAGTGGAAGAAATATACAAAATGGGAGAAAATATTTGCAAATCCTATATCTGATAAGAATCTGGCTCAGCAAATGGATAAGGGATTCTTAAAACTCAACAACAAAAATACAAACAACTCAATTAAAAATTAGGCAAAGAGGGGCGCCTGGGTGACTCCGTTGGTTAAGCGTCCGACTTCAGCTCAGGTCATGATCTGGTGGTTTGTGAGTTTGAGCCCTGCGTCAGGCTCTGTGCTGACAGCTCGGAGCCTGGAACCTGCTTCGGATTCTGTGCCTCCCTCTCTGTGCCCCTCCCCCACTCACACTCTGTCTCCGTCTCAAAAATGAATAAACATTAAAAAAAAATTAGGCAAAGGACTTGAACAGACATTTCTCCAACAAAGATACACAAGTGAGCAAAAAGCACATGGAAGGATACTCAACATCATGAATCAGCAGGGAACTAAACCAAAACTACAATGAACTCCCATTTCACACTCACTAGGATGCATACCATTAACAAAATAAATGGGAAAATAACATGTTGAGAAAGATAGAAAGGAATCAGTCGGAATGCTAGCACATTGCTGGTGGGAATGTAAACTGGTCCAGTCACTGTGGGAAACAGTCCGGCAGTTCCTCAAAAAGTAAACATAAAATTACAGTATGACCCTGCAATTCCAATTCCAGGAATATACTCAGGAGAACTGAAAACAGATTCTTAAATACATGTACATATGTGCTCATAGTGGCAGTATTCACAACAGCCAAGACCTAGAAAAACCGTCCAAATGGCCATCCAATTATGAATGGATGAAAAGAGGGCACACACACTCCATGAGATACTACACAGGTATAGAAAGGAATGAAGTCCTGACCCATGCTTCAACGTGGCTGAACTGCAAAACCTTAGGCTAAGTGAAAAAAGCCAGACACAACATTCACATGTATTATTCCATTTATAGGAAATATGGACAATAGATAAATCCGTAGAGACAGAACATAAATTGCTGGTTGCCAGGGGTAAAGGGAGGGACGGATAGGGGGCAGCCGCTTACATAATGGGTCGGGTTTCCTTTTGGAGTAATAAAGATATTCCAGAAGAAGATACAAGGGGGTCAGCAGCCGCTTACTTATTTTGGAGTAATAAAGATATTCCAGAACAAGATACAAGGGGTAGTTGTGCAATGTGGTAAGTCTGCTAAGGCCACTGAATCGTTCACTTTGACATGGTTCGTTTTATGCCATGTGAATTTCACTTCAATTATATTAATTATATCACACAGAATCCCCTCAGCAAACGTGAAGGCTATGTTTCTGAAATGAGTCGTGCTGGACAAAATCAAGCTCTGTAAGACATGAGTTGGTTTTCCTAACCATAATGATGGAGTTCCAAAGTTGTTTACACAATGTAAATAAAATGTCATGGAGGGTATCTTCTTCCAAACAAACCAGTCTGATAGCATTGAGAACCTGCATCTCCAAGTAACCATTTCTCCAACTGCCCTGTTGATTAGGAAACACTGTAGAGTAGCTGCGTCATGGGCTGAGAAAAATGATCTCACAGATTCCATGTTCCTATTGTATGCTTCCTTTAAGCGTTTTCAATACATTCTACTGGCTGTGATTTAATATTGTTTACACTCATAAGTATCTGTGTCATTCAGAGATTTATCATGTTGCCTGCGGGCATCATGTTTCAGGCTTCACGATGACATCTAGAGAGGACAGAGTGTACCTGAAATGACATGCAGAGAGGACAGAGTGTACCTGAAATAACATGGAGAGAGGATACAGTGTACCCGCAAGTGTGTGGTTGCTGCAAGTTGGACATGGTGTTCGTGTTAAATAGTGATTAGTGGTTAACAAAGGCAGACTGACAGGAGGAGGCAGGTGTGGGCTGCGGTTGAGGGAAGCGGACGGTGGCAGGGGCAAAGGGGGGGTGAAAGGCGTGAGAAGCAGTTCGTTTGAATACGTATTTTGAAAGTAGGGTTGACAGAAAAGCAAATGCACATCACTTTGTTATATGTTATTTAATCTTCAGGGAAATCATAAAGTTCACACTGATGTGAAAAGTATAATCAAGCCTTAAACTTGGTATCAAAATGAATGTAGTCATGTAGAAAATGAGCACAATGGCAGCGAAGGTAAAAGAATTTTCAAATAAAATTCTAACCACGGGCAGATATAACTCTTTGAGGTTCTTCTGTTTAGCTTTTTAACTTTTGCATTAAACTCATACGCTCTTTACAATTCTGTCTATAGGAATTCCTCACCGTCCTGCAATAATAACTTAGATATTTGGCCATCGTGCTATAAAGGAAGTTTTTAAATATATTTTGTTTAAATGTTTACTTCTCTGTCAATGTTTGGTGAATAAATATTTGCTGTATCATGTGCAACTAGCGACAAGACACCATGAGAAGTTGTTAAAATAATTCAGTATGTTACAGAACCACACAGATCTGGTCATTTAATACATGGTATGGAATGATTTTCATGAAAGATGGCTGTGATTTTTAAGAACAAGTTCTTTCCTTTAAAGAGTGTGTTCCTTTCATGGCTAAATGACTAATCCAATACATTAATATGTATATAACAGTGCAACATTTTGTAGATCTATATTAGCATTGAAGTGATTATTTATCACTACTGATGTTTTTAAAGATTTACAAAAACCTTTGGCATATTTTTATTTCAATAGAAAAAAGTAAGTTAATGGGACTGTAATAATGATTATTGCTAAAATTTGTATCATAGCACAAAATAATATAATATTTAAAGTAAACATGAATATATACTTTTTTTGTTTGAAGAAGGAAAATGTAACTAGAAACATTAATTGTATAAATTATATAGTGTCTCCTAAGGTAGACCATTATTTCTTTCCTATTAGTTTTTTTTAGGTTTATTTTACTTATTTTGAGAGAAAGAGGGAGGGGAGGAAGAGAGAGAGAGGGAGAGAAGGAGAAAGAATCTCAAGCAGGTTCTGCACCAGTAGTGGGGCTCGAACTCAAGAGCTGTGAGATTATGAGCTGAGCTGAAACCAAGAGTCGGATGCTTAACCGACGGAGCTACCCAGGCGCCCCTATTTTCTATTACTTTCTTTTTTTTAAAAATTTTTTTTTCAATGTTTATTTTTTTTGGGACAGAGAGAGACAGAGCATGAACGGGGGAGGGGCAGAGAGAGAGGGAGACACAGAGTCAGAAACAGGCTCCAGGCTCTGAGCCATCAGCCCAGAGCCCGACGCGGGGCTCGAACTCACGGACTGCGAGATCGTGACCTGGCTGAAGTCGGACGCTTAACCGACTGCGCCACCCAGGCGCCCCTCTATTACTTTCTAAAAGAGTACCTGAAGTATCTGAATCCTTAAAACTTACATAGAACCAGTGGCACTCATTTTCACAATTAGCCCAGAAATTTCAGAGAGGGAAGGGATTAAAATTTCAATTTTCCCACATTTCAAATGGGGAATATATTGGTAACGAATATATTCAATTAATATATTACTTGAATATTCAAATATATTGGTAATGGTTGAGGACAGCCTGCAAATATAATGACAGCAACAGCTCTGAGGTGGCTGAAATAAAATGACCATAGGTAGAAAGCAACGGACCCGGCGTAGTGGACTCTGAATCAAGAATGATCATCAAAGGAGACCGTGCCGTCATCACAGGGATGTTCTGGACACGGGCTGTCCCAGAAGCATCTTGCATTTAAGAATATGGCTGTCTGAGTTGAGGTGGGGGCCAAGTATCAAGAACTGTGGTCAATTTAGACAAGGAGGAGGCTGCCCTGACATCTTTCACACCTTGAAGAACCTCTGTGACCTAGTTAGGTCACACAAAAGCTGAGATGAGAGAAGAAGCAGAGAAACCCTTGCTATGGGAGCAGCTTGGGTGGAGAATTGCTTTGGTAAAGTTGGTGACTCATCAGATGTCACAGCTAGCAGCTGGAAATCCTTCAGCCTCAAGGGAGAAGCAGGTAAACACAGGGATGGAAATCCTTAACAGACAGTAAGGCCTGGGCTTCCTGCTCATGAGGGCAGGTGAAAGGTTCATTCTTGTCCTTTTAAAAAACAGCATTAGGAACATGTAATTCACAGGTAATCAAATTCACCCATTCACAAGGTATGATTCCATGAATTTTTGTTTTATTAATATGTAATTCACATGTGATCAAATTTGTACCATTTCAGGGTACAATTCCATGAATTTTAGTTTATTTGCAGAGTCGTCTGACCACCAGGACAATCAACTTTAGAATGTGTTCTTCACTGTTAGCATGGTCCACTGTCAGTGACTCCCTATTCTGTCCCACCCCCAGCCCTAGGCAACCACTAGTGTCCTGTTTTTGTCCCTAGAGATTGGCCTATTCTGGACATTTTGTAAAAGTGGAATTACACTATGTGTGGTCCTTTGTGAACAACTTTTTCCACTCAGTATAATGTTTTCAAGGCTCATCCATGTTGTAGTGGGTGTCAGCGCTACGTTCTCCTTTATTGACAAAGGATTCCAGTGTATGGATGTACATTTGGTTCATCCATTCATCCGTACATGGACATTTGAGTTGCTTCCACATTCTGCTCTTGTAAATAATTCTGTTGTGTATATATTTGTGCAACTTTTTATGTGGATGTATGTTTTCATTTCTTGAGCAGATACGGGTAGAATTATTGGGTTATATGGTGACTCTATGTGTAACATTAGAAGACGACACATTGTGGGGCACCTGGGTGGCTCAGTCGGTTGAGCGTCCGACTTCGGCTCAGGTCATGATCTCACGGTCCGTGAGTTCACGCCCCGCGTCGGGCCCTGTGCTGACGGCTCGGAGCCTGGAGCCTGTTTCGGATTCTGTGTCTCCCTCTCTCTGACCCTCCCCCGTTCATGCTCTGTCTCTCTCTGTCTCAAAAATCAATAAAAGTAAAAAAATTTTTTTTTAAAAAAGAAGACGACACATTGTTTTCCAAAGTATACACTTATTTTACTGCCCCTCCAGGAATATATGAGGACTCAAATCTCCAAGTCCTCAGCCACACTTACCATCTCCTTTCTTTGTCAGTATAGACACTCAAAGGAGGTGAGAAGCAGTGCCTTGTGATTTTCACCTGCATTTCCCTAATGATAGTTGATCGTGACTGAATTTCCATGTGCTTACTGGCCGTTCATGTAGCTTCTTTGGAGAAATGTCTATTCAAATTCCTGTCCATTTTTATTTGGGTTATTTCTTTGTTTACTTTTGAGTTGTAATGGTTCTTTATATACGTTCTCTATACGTATGTCCTTTATTATCTGCTTTATTTAAGGGGAACGTGGGTGGCTCAGTCAGTTAAGCATCTGACTTCCACTCAGGTTGATTTCACGGTTCGTGGGTTCAAGCCCCACATCAGGCTCTGTGCTGACAGCTCAGAGCCTTCTTTGGATCCTCTGTCCCCCTCTCTCTCTGACCTCCCCTGCCTTCTCTCTCTCTCTCTCTCAAAAATGAATAAACATTTAAAGAAAATATTTTCTCTCAGGCTGAGTGTGGTCTTCACTTTCTTGATCATGTCCTCTAAGTCACGTATTTCCCAAATTTTGATGAAGTCCAACTTATCCATCTTGTCATTTAATCACTTGTAGTTTAGTGTCATATCTAAAAAAAACATTGCCTACAGATTTACTGTATTTTCTTCTAACAGTTATATAAATTTTTTTACCTCTAATATTCAGGTCTATGATCCAGTTGAGCTAATCTTTGCAAATGGCAAGAAGATAAAGACAAAACTTCATTCTTTTGTATGTTGCCCCAAACTTCATTTATTGAAAAGATTATTCTTTCCTGACGGGATTGTTTTGGACTTTTTTTTGGGGTGGAGGGAACCGATTGGCCATAAATGTTAGGGGTTATTTCTAGACCCTTAACTTTATTCTAGTGATCTGTATCTGCATTTTAAAACAAGCACCACACAGTATTGATTACAGTGAAAAATGTCCCTTGAAAAAGTTTTATTCATTTCAGGATGATTGTAAACTTTAGCTACTTAAGATCTGTACATACCTATTGGAGAAAATTCAAAATAGTTAAGTCTTTCCATTTTTTAAATGTAAGTTTACTCGTGTGAAATCTAAAAGTCTGAGAAATACTGTTTCTAACTGTGTACTAACTCACAGTTGGAACATCCTAGTGGACTTGACAATATAGGTGCTTTTCCCAAGACCAGTGACCACACATGGCTCTCTTGAGTTGGCCTTATGTACAGGATATTTGTGAGACTGAAGCAATGCCTGGGTCATTTGTCAAAATGTTCACTTTATAACCATGGGCCAACTTTAGGCTTCCATACTTTTAGGGAGTAAAGCAACTCAGGGCCACACAGAAAGAACGAGAGAGGTAGCGAGCATGACTCTTTAACGACCAGCCATAGGGGACAGAAGCAAGCCTACTGTGATCTTGCAGAAGGAAGCCAGTGATCTCTCAAGGGTTCAGTGTTCCTCCTGACTTTCTCCTGGTGATGACTAACATGTCTCTGCTGTGCTCAGAGAGCTGGGTACAGTCACACTGATAGAGACCCCAGGAGGTCTGGCAGGGACACTCAATATTTTGTGTAAGCTGTTTAAGACTATATGTACTTTACTCAAAAACTGAAGGATGGATTTTGGTGGTACTTTAACTTGGAATTTATGCTTTGTCTTACATAATTCTCTTTGGATGAACAATTTAGCGCCACGTTACTCTTTGTAGAAATGCCCTTGTTATTATGAGTAACTGACAACTTTAAAGGGATCTAATTAATCCCAGCCTACAAATAAAATGTTTCCACCTCAGTGGATTTTACCTAGTAAAAATGTTTAAAATAAATAGTCTCCTGGGTAATATTTCTGAATTCAGAATTATCCCCCGCCCCCAGACCTCATTAACATTCATGGGGAACAAAAAGTAAAATAAAACTACAAACAGCTGAAAGTCTCTGATTAGAAGTCTGTTCCCTTGGTACCAATACATTGTTTAATGCTTTTTTTTTTTAAATAAATTTTGAAATCATTTTTAACTTACGTTTCTGAAAGATTAAAAACTCGCTGGGGATCTCCATTCTCAATGGCATATGTTATTGGGTCTCCCTCTCGATCAGTTGCCTTCAGAGAGAAAACACGACTAAATTATCAAGTGATTGATACCCTCCTAGTCAGTACAGTACAATATAGAAGCTTGAAACCAACATTACAGGATATCCATGAGACTCTTAAAGAATAAAAAATGAGCTGATGGCAGGAGGTAAAATACAGAATTTCATATCTGACCTCAGCATCCTGTCATTTTATCTCATGTGAAAGTAGTAAGTGTGAGTAAGAATAGTATTTTCTTCACATATACGTAATCTTACCTGGAGTGGAAATATAGTAATGACTTTCCTAAGGTTTGTGTACTTAATTTTACCCGAGTGGATCGCTACACTCTGCATAAATGTTTGCAGTGCAGAGAAATTCCTTTTTCTGCTGAGAATATATCGAGTCAGGGAGCTTTGTGGTTAAGAATCTCGAACCTGAAGCCAAAAGCCCGAATTCAAAAGTGGCTCCACTGACGAGATATGTGATTATTTTTCAATTTCTTCATTTGTAAATGAGAACTAGAACAATACAAAAGTTAATCACTATTGGGAGGTTTAACTGAAATGATTTATGTCTGGGCACACAGACTAACATCTGGTGCGTTGAAAGTTTCCAAAAAATATTACTCTTTTTTTTTTTTTCTTTTTCCCCACCTTCACTCAATTCAGAGAAGAAAAAAACTATAGCTTTGGACTTTGAGTATATATATCCCTAACCCCAGCCTTTCCTCAGCATTTCAGGCATATCCCCTGCCGACCTGAACACCCAGTTGGATGAGTGACAATCATCCCCAATTTAAAATGTTCAAACCCCCAAATCCTGCTCTCTCTCTCCCTCCTCTGCCCTCAAGAAAACAACAGCCTACTGTTCTCAGTCTTAGTTATCTCAGTGATCGTGGAGACTGCAACCCCCACCCCCCTTTTTGCTCAGGCCTCATACCTTGACTTTAATTGCTCATTCCTACTCTCCAGGGCACCCCATCAGCAAATCCCACTGGGTCCATCCCCAAACTGTCTGCAGTGTAAATCTGTATCCGATCCCCATCCCCACTACTATCTTCTTCATGGATCCTAGTAATGACCATCTTCCTGGTGGCCCTGATGTTTCCCTTGTACCCTCCCTGCAGTCAAATTTTAATCAAGCAAAGTGATCACTTTTTTCAGACCTACGCTTTATTTCTTTTGAGTAACACTATTACATTATTACAGATACACAATAAAACACAATGGAATAAAATAGTAAGATACAATGAAATAATAAACTACCTAGGGTAATATCTTTGAAACATTCCATATATGTCTAAATCTAAACTTTTAATTTAAAATCTAAAATTAATTGTAATAGAAATCTGAGAGTAGAGAGCAAGAAAAAAATATCGTTTTTAATTTTTTTTTTTTTTTCAACGTTTATTTATTTTTGGGACAGAGAGAGACAGAGCATGAACGGGGAAGGGGCAGAGAGAGAGGGAGACACAGAATTGGAAACAGGCTCCAGGTTCTGAGCCATCAGCCCAGAGCCTGACGCGGGGCTCAAACTCACAGACCGGGAGATCGTGACCTGGCTGAAGTCGGACGCTTAACCGACTGCGCCACCCAGGCGCCCCAAAATATCGTTTTTAAACAGGCTCAATGGAATTGATCGCAGATGCTTGATATTTTCATCATTTCTTGTTCTTTGCCAGGCAAGTATTAGCCAAAAAAGATAAAACAGAACTACAAATAATGACACAGTCCACTTTTGAAGAAACGCAGAATTATGCTATATTGGTGAGATAGGGAGACCAAAGGAGTGCATAAAAATCTGCTTTTTACTCATTTTCCCGCTTCCTTTCTAAGACCGACCCTCACCTTATTCGCGTCTTGTACTATATCCTTGCAAGGTACAAGGAGTTAATGATTTCCTTGGAGTCTTCCAGTATAACAGAAACATCTAAGGAGTGACTGGACAAGAACGGCTGACTGAGGCCATGCTAGGGAAATTTCAGAACCCCCATGTTAGACACCTCAACGCCGAGAATCTTGGCTTCAGGGAATAAGTCAGCTATGGAGGACACCTGGACGTTTTTTCTTTGTCTGACTGGTTAGGGGAAGTGTACATCAGACCACGATCCTCAGTAAAAACCCCAGATTCTGAACAAAGAGGAGACTCTCTCTCCTTTCCTTTCCGAGTCTCCCCGACATTCTATCCATACCTGGTCTCTCTGGACCTTCAATAAAGTGTGCCCTCGCCTCCTGCTGGCTCATGTTTCACTTCTGTCCTATGCACATCAGGGACCCTCCTGGCTGGCTGGTCCCGTGAGACCCACTCAGCGTCCTCGGACCTGGGCTGCCTACATCATTAAGAGACTGCATTTTACCACTAAAAAGTGCACACTGAACTTTTTCTGTTGTTTTTCTCTTTCAATCAGTCATTTAAAAAAAAATTTAATGTTCATTCATTTTGAGAAACAGAGAGAGACAGAGTGCAATTAGGGGAGGGGCACAGAGAGAGGGAGACACAGAAGCAGGTCCCAGGCTCTGAGCTGTCAGTACAGAGCCCTATGTAGGGCTCGAACCCGTGAACTGGGAGATCATGACCTGAGTCAAAATCGGACTCTCAACCGACTGAGCCACCCAGGCGCCCCTCAATCAGTCATTTTTACCTGTCATATAGTTATAGATATAATCAATTTCTTTGTATTTGTTCATTGGCATGTGGTTGTTGTTTTCTGAGAGACAATTTATTGTTTGTATTTTCAATGAGCCAGAAGTAATGGATTCTGAAACAAGATAGATTTGTGTGGATACAGATAAGTTCAGATTAATGTTAGCCTTTCTTCTAATGTATCGGGTCTACTCTAACACTTAACATTATCGCTGTGGGATGAGAGCATGGTGAATGTTGCATCATTTTATTTATGTAAGTCATTATATTGTTATGTTACTAAAATAATAACAAAGAGAAATTCCTAAAGAACTTCCCATTTTTTCATCCACATTAATTACTTTCTATTCCCGAGGTACCTTGAAATATTTCTTCCAGTTTTGTTTGGCCCTTTAAATACCTCAGACTTTAAGAAATGTGAGAGCCAGTACTTTGCCTGTCATACTTTTTAAAAAGATTTGTTTGTTGGTTGGTTTATTTTTAAGTAAGTTCCATGCCTTGCATGGAGCGCAACACAAGGCCTGAACTCAGATCAAACCTGAGCTGAGATCAAGACCTGAGCTGAGATAAAGAGTCGGATGCCCAACCGACTGAACTACCCAGGCACCTCACCTACTTCATTCTTTTTTTCTACTTAATTTTTTTTAAGTTTCTTTATTTATTTTGAGAGAGGGAGAGAGCACGAGCAGGGGAGGCGCACAAAGAGGGAGAGAGAGAATCCCACGCAGGCTCCATGGATGCAGGACTTGATCCACAAACCATGAGACCATTCATGACCTGAGCTGAAACCAAGAGTCAGAAGCTTAACCAGCTGAGCCACCCAGGTGCCCCCAACTACCTCATTCTTATATGAGGTTGTGCCCACACTAGAAAGCTTGAAGACCCAGGATTTGGAAGGAAATCCTTATCCGATTGTTTTGTTTCTTTTATTCTTTTAGCCAATCCTCTGTGGTTGTTTTAGGACCCGTGGCCAGTGGTGTAGTAATTAGGGAGGATTTATAATTTCTCAGTCAAGGAAGCAAGGGGGAAGTGTGTTATCTGGACGAGAGCTCTGAAATCTAACCACTACAAGTGTCAGCACTTGTGTAAATACTCTGTATCTCCTTCTGTCAGTATTAAGGGAAAGACATGCTTTAAAGGAAGAAATAGGACATAAAAGGTAAACATGGAAAAGTCAGAAAAAGCAATGATCCTTGTTGTAATAAGATTTGACCATATGCATATTTATGACCTAAAATACCTTTCTGAAAACACTTTATACATAGTCCTTTTTTTTTTTTTTCTATATGTGAGTCTAGCCAGCTGTCTCTGGATGATGGGCAGAAATTCAAATATGGTTTTGAACAGTGAATACTTAAGTTAACACTGATTGACTTCTTACTTTGTGCTGGGAACGATCTTTGCATGCATCATCTCATTTAAACCTCACACTAACCATGTAGGTGAAAGAGAAAGACCAAGGGCTTTGTTACCACTCCAATTAGAGTTCCCTGTAACTTACTTCATTGGAAGATACATCTGTTTTTGTTTTTTTTTTTTAACATGGAAATTAATAGTTACCATTTCATCTGAAAAATAGAGAGGGCATGGGGCTCCTGGGTGGCTCAGTCGGGTAAACTTCTGACTCCTGATTTTGGCTCAGGTCATGATCTCATGGTTCAGGGGATCAAGCCCCACTCCTGGCTCTGCACTGACAGTGTGGAGTCTGCTTGGGATTCCCTCCCTCCCTCTCTCTCCCTCTCTTCCCCTTTCCTGCTCTCTCTTTCTCTCAAAATAAATAAATAAACTTAATTTTTTTTTTTAAGGGAGAGGTTAGTGTCACTTAAGACACTAGACAGATAGAACAGAAGGGAATTTCTCATCCTTTGTACACATACATTTTCTATGACTTTATTTTTGATGAGCCGAGTCCAATGTGAGCTTCTCACACAAGGTCTTGGGGGGGAGTGGTCATCTCCCTGGGGGGTTATCCCAGCATGAACTGGGAAGGTTCCGGAACCACCCCCCTCACTCACAGCCCTGGAGCCACCTCCGCTCAGACAGGACGCCTGACTATAAGAGGAAGCTAACAAGAATAACGCATACAGTATACACTCATTGATGCACCAAATATTCATTAACCGTCTGTGCTGTGTGAATAAGCACTGAGGCTCCAATGAGACAAAATTCCGGGAGCCACACAGACAAGGATTCTTCCTTCATGCAACTTGTACTGTAAGGGGGGGCGCCAGAGACCAAGCAGAATAATTAATGAAAATATACAGCTTTCAGATCTGTGTAAGTGCAGCTGTAATATATTTTGGGAAGGACATACAGGGAGGGGAGGAGGCAGGCTTGCCATCATGTACGGGTCATCAGGAAAATGTGAAAAGTTGGCAGACGCT